GGGATATACATCCCCCGGTGCCGCGGACGCACTGTCTGACATGGCACCGCGTGCCGGGGACGATTTTTGGTTCTGCCCGTGCTCGCTGTCAGAACCAGCGAGACTTGATGGTTTTCGTGTCGTGGGCACAGGGCTCATAATGCAAGGGAGTTGTTAAACTCCAACAAATTAAGTTGAAGTGTCTAACGGACACGCGAGCCTCGTTGAGGTAATGATTGATTGGAGCTGTAAATGTTTCCAATCTTAATGGGGGGTGTAACAGGGTTACACGATCCCTAATAATAGGGGTGTGTGTCACACGAGATGTGCATTATGTGACCGCACACCCAAACAAGAATACGGTACGGGGCTAGGTAGCCAGTCGTTATGCATGTATTTAGATTTTACTATATATAGTAAATTTATGAAAATCCAAATTTTTAAAATTTGGATAAAAAGATAAATAAAAGTCAGTTTCGATTTTGAACAGAAGTGTTCGTTTGCCTTGGTTAAGGCTTTTAAGTATTTTTATAGGCAGCAGATTGCGATCCGCTACACTCGTACTTGGTTCTTGTAAAGAACGAAATGTCGGTGACCTAAAGACGCTTCCTCGCGCGCAAAGCTACGGCAGCCTCGCTGCATATACAGCTCGTGGAAGCATTGAAGATGCCGGATTTGGAATTGAGAATTGATATCTATGAGTCTTGTGGTGGGAGCACTGATAAAATGGGCGACGGTAAGTAAAGCTTTCAAGTGAGGACTGAGAGAACTAACACTGCGAAATAGTGTTTTGTTCTGGACTCATTTTGCGATACGATCTCACTTTAGATTAGGTGCAATCGAAACTGTGTAATGCCGCAGCAACTTCAATCGCGTGGTGACAAGCTATTCAGAATAAATTGTGGCTCTGCACAAACCTCTCTCAGCCACACATTCGTCCGTAGTCGTACAGAGTACGGAAAGTCGGAAGTGGAGGAGGACCTCAAAAGCATTTGCGAGCGGTGCTTGACCGCATGTGCTCATATAAGCTTTTCATTCACATAAAAGAATGTGCTAAGCGCTGAAAAATTCTGTTTTGTATTGCTACATTGTAAAGCAGAGCTAATTGACAAATCTTGCGACCATTAGAACCGTTGGAGATTGGCCAGTGCCTCGGTCGCGGAAAGACATCAGACTGTAGCTTGGATCTGCACAAGGATGATGAATCTGCCCACATTATACGACCCCTCGCCGATTTCCTTACTTGTGATGTTAGATGGTACCAAGGCGCGGCCTCATGTAATCACTATCGAGTCAGATTCAAGATTGACCATTTTCATGACGTCTATGACGCACAAGTTGTACAATAACCTTTGATATATTACAAGCAGATGACAATGCACATTCGAGCGGAGATGCGTTTAGGTCTTGTTTGCTGAA